GAAGTTTTTACCAAAATAACGCATGCACAAAACAACAAACGCCGTCGGCACTCCAGCAAATAAGCGTCGATCACTATAGTCACTACGATACTGTCTACAGTCCTACAGAAGCGCTGGGCCGCGTGTTTCTTTTTGCCGGCTTTCAACCTCCCACCGACTAACGCGACAACACGATCGGCGACGACGTTGTTATGTTATAATAATAATAATAATAATATATTTATACCTATAGTACCTACATCCTGACGGCTGGCGGCAGGCACAATCGTCGTCAATCTGAGACGATGCATGCGCTACCTACCCATGCGGTGTACATCAACACATGCACATCCCCTGTAGGACGTAGGTATATTGTATGCCGTATTGTAAGTACCTAATATAATAATATGTATCTATAATATGTGTAATGTGTATGTCTAAGACTTTTGAATGTACCTATATTTATAATTTTTTTTTACTTACATTTTTAATATTATTATATTATGAACATTTTGAACCAGAATATTTTTATAAAAACTTTAACGTATAGATATGAAATATTGAAGAAATAATAGATAGGTCAAGCAATACCCACTTTTATTATACATTATACTTATATCAATATATGTATGTATATAGTACAACATTTAAAGTTTAAATAAGGGAAGAGAAGTGATATAATCTGAAAAGCGGTGTATAGCCGTATAGGGTATTAACTATTAACAAAACGTCAACGAGAGAAGGGAAAATCTATAACACGAATACGAGATAAAAAAATATTTAAAAAAATTGTTCATTGTCTTGCCGAAAACTTTCTAAGCCTACACAAGTTTTATCTAAGTTACATTTTAAAACTTTTATATTTATTGTTAATAATAATTGCCATAATTTATGTATTACCTACTTTTAATATGTATTTACATATCAAAAAGAATAAATAAATAAAATCCTGCAATAGATAATCGACCCCTTCCCCCTAAAAAATGCCACTATTGAAATAAAATTTGTGGTTCATTAATAAATATATAGTTTAAATACTTGTTTATTAAAATTAAAAATACCTAAACCAACTATATATTTTATGTTCGACATTTATATAAATCAACATTTTGTGGAAAAGTATTCCATTTCAAAATTTAAAGCAAATAAACAATTTTACCTATAAGGCTAAAAGTTATAAAACCTTAAAAATCACAACTACCTACATAAAAAATTATAATAATTTGATTTTTCATCAAAATTTATTGTTAGTAGGTAGCACCCTAGTCGGCCTAGTCAGATAGTTTCCACATTGGTGAGCCTCGTCCTCACGTTATTCATTTTGTTGGTATCAATGATATCTTTTGCTACAAAATTAAAATAATAATATACAAATATAGGTATTATAAATTGTAAGTATTCTTTTGTTTAAAAAAAAAAAAAATATTCTAGTGATATTTATGTTTTATATTATTATAAAAATCCCTTTAACATAGACGATAATATCGTGTATAAAAGTATAATAATCTTTAATGACGGATTTCAGCTCTACTGCGCTGAACGATTTACTGGTCACGGGTGCTTAACTTACTGCCCACACCGTTGACTCCACAGACATACATTGTGCATGCAGTACCTATGATTTTTATATACCTATCTAAACTTAGATATTAAAACTATTATCACTATAATATAATACCACAATTTTGGTGAGAAATATTTAAATCATATATTTTATGTGAAACCTGTCTAAAAGACAGGGTTAAAAATGTTGAATAAAAAAATAATATACATGTGGAATTGTGAAAAAATACATAAAACAGATATGGGTAATAACCTTATTTTGAGTTAAGTTTATCGTTATTAGAATTATATTATAGGTATTATTTAAAAATTATTAATACATTTATAACATATAAAAATTCCATAACAAATAAATAATACATTTTTAAATTAAAGATAATTACCTTTATTATTATAAACGCATACTTTAGATTGAATAATTTAATTGAAATCAATTTATCTGATATTAAACTGCAATAATCGTGTACAATCTAATTAAAAAATAATTATTAGATGAGTTAATAAAAATAAAAGAATTCTATTATAAACTATTAATGGGCAATATACAATGTGTTATTCTAGTCTGTGATTGGTCATTAAAGTCATTTGTTACAAAAATAAACTATAATTTTATTATAATTACAGAGAAAAAAAAGGAAAACAAATATTGCTGATATAAATGTTTTAATTTGTTTATCATGGTACCTATTTATTACAGATCGCATATACTTTTCTCAGTATTATTAATATGATTAAATTAAAAAAAAAAAAAAAAAAATGTTTGAAGTAACTTTCTACATGGTTACTTAATTATCAAATTTATGCAACATATATAATATATTACCATAATATGAATATTCACACTACAATCTTGATAAGATTAAATATGGACATAATATAGTTTACAGGTAAAGTTAAGTATCTAGGTAATGTAACTGTAATGTAACAGTAGATAAGTATTAGTGTACATTAAATACACTTATATATATAGTTTAGTTCTCTATACAATTATTATATTCTATGAATTATGATATGTTTTAGTGTTCGGCGTGAGTTTATATATAATTATGTATAACTGTATATAAATAAGTATAATGTACATGTTATAGTAATATCTAGTATAAAATAAATATTATAATTTATAATCTATAAATACATTTATAACTCTATAGGTATGCTCTTCAATAATTTAGTAATTATATAGAAACTATAAGTACGAATATACTGCAATATTTTTACATAACAGTATCTATAAGTACAAAATACAAGCCCCTTTTTTTAAATAAAAACTTACCAAATAGTTTAATATATAAATCAGTCTTACAGTGCATAAAGTAATGAAGTTACAAACATTTTTTGGAAAATTTAAACGCATTTATTCTTAAGTAACGCTGTATTGAAGTATTTATTAAAAGCAAATAAATATATTAAGTAGTACATTTTAAATTCATACTTCATATTAATATTCTTGTACTGCATACTAAAATAGGGGCTGTACTTGTATAACTTTATTACACAAGAGAATCATATATAATTATTTACTTTTTGCGTTTAAAATTTTTCTTTCTTTAGAACCTTATTTAAATAATTATTTGGACAAAGATTTTATTAGATTGTAAATCAAATACCTTAGATTACTTATATTGTAAAATTATTAGATAGGTACTTAAAATCGCATTATAATATAAAAATTACATCAGATACAAATCAACCAGGATTTAAGAGTATTTCATCTGAAGAATTTACCAATGACTACATTAAAATTGACGAGTTGAGCCAAATGAAAAACTATATTACGTAGATTTTTAATTTATAAAGGATACAAAATCCAATTATCTACATACCATTTTTTAATACAGTTAGAAGATCCATTTATGAACATTACCAATCGTTAAACAAAATGTCAATGCCTTCGCTAGGAATCTAGATATATAATTCACTCGTAGGAATAGATAAAAATATCAAATATTTTATAAACTAACCAAACTTGCCTAACCTTGGAGAATTCAATTTATGACAACAAAATTTTGAATCTCTAAAAATATTTTTTTTTAATATTTATATTTATTGCATTAACGATTTACATTAAGTATAATTATTTCAATTTTTTTCAAATAAGTTTTGTAACATATTATATAATAATAGATTAGACCTGAAAATTTAAATAAATTACATCTCTCCCTATGAAAATTATTGTTTATATTACTATTTGGTGTTTGCCAGCATGACCTAAAGGTGCTTATTGTGCTTATACACTTTATCTTTGATTGCGTGGCGCCATAGATAGGCTACTAAATATACGTCTTATTGGTTAATTTTTATAATACTTATGTGAAACAGCATTGACGTGAAATTCAATTCCTATCATCAGAAACGAACAAGAACACACATCAACCATGCACTGAATCAAAATAAATATTACCTATTAGCTTAAACTATGATAGATAACTAAAGCTCAGGTTAAGGCTGTAAATTTAAATTGTAAAGCATACACTTATATGCATTACAAACTGACAAAATATACTCTGTAAATTTCAAAATATGCTAAACCTACAGCAATTTATTTAAAATTTCAAAAACCTGTTAACTTCTATACTGTGACTGATATGAATATTATATCAATGGACATTAATTCAAGTAAGTGATAAGTTAGTCAATTTATTAAATATGCTTAGCAATACCCGAAGTCTGCAGAGTTTTATAGGTAGATATTTATAACAATTATCTCAACATAAATAAATAATGATACACAACATGGGCGTTCCCAGACATTTTTCTAGGGGGGAGGGAATTTATTTAAAAATATATAAAGATTTTTTTTTTATACATTTTATTTATAATACATTATCATGTTTTATCATTATTACAATTAGGTATTATTATTATACATTTTATATTTTATTTATAGAACATTATTATGTTTCATCAGTATAACATTAAATTATTACAATTGGGAAACAAATTTAAAATTCTAGTGGGTAAGTGTCCCGTCTTGCCCCTTCCCCTTGGGACGCCTATGATGTACAATATATTATAATATAAAATATGCAAAACTTCAATTAATACCTTATTACCTATACTTAATATACCTAATAGTATGATACATTGATTCAAAATTATGCAACATATATTAATTCGTAATTTTACAATAATTCAATTATGTAATTAGTCATGATCTAAAATAATTAAAAATAATTTTCAAAAATCTAATTTAATAAAATTTATTCATATGTTATGCACGCCGTACGACTCAAAATGTAGATAAAAAAATGAAAATTATATCTACATAGTAGCTCAGCTACACAAACGACCGACGTGCTACTGGTGGCAATTTAACTGTGTATTTTATCACAAACATTTTTCAATTATTTATGGTAGCGGTTCTTGAGTCGACCATAAAATTGATTTTCTTTCTTATCTCTTATCACAAAATAAATAATATTTATTATTTCTTTCTTATTTTTTATTATTTAATTATAATATTTCTATGTGTATTTTACATTTACGCGTTATTGAATTTAACTTCAAAGCTACAGCCTACAACTGTTTTAAATGACAGTTAGAATTTTAGTAATTAACTATTCAACGTAAGTATTAATTTAATTTAATATTATTGTTATACAAAATGTTATTTTTTCCTATAATAATTATTAATGGACATGAAAATAGCCATTAATAACTATAACAATAATTACTAAATACAATCACTTATGCTATAATTAAGTATTCACTATAGTCTATACCAGGGGACAAGGATTACCTGTTAATATTTTTTGAAAATAATTTTAATAACTCAAAAAGTTTTTAGAGTCAATCCAAAAGTAATAAAAAAATTTGGTTTTGGCCGTTATTTGGTGACCATAAATAATTCTAATCTATGTAATTGATTATTTTAAGTACTTTTTAATATAGATATATGTATTATGCATATCAAAGTGGAAATCATGTATAATGTATTGTGTGATTATAAAACCCATTTTTTTATTATATACATTTTATTTTTTCAGAAATTATTTTGTTTAAACACTTAAGTGCTTTTAGTTGTATTGATGGTTTTTGCATAATATACATTTTTCAAGAACAAAGTATCTAATATGTATACAAAAGATTATATTTTATCGGTATGTTAATTAAAATGTAATATTTTAAAATAGTTAGGCATTTAGTTTTGATTTTTACATTTACTTGAAACTATATTATGTTTTAGACTACAACGTTTTACAATGAAGAGAATGGTTCTGAATTGGCGGTAATAATATTTTTTAGTCATTACTTTAATTTAAAATGTATGTGTAAAAATTCTTTTATTTTCACAGAATTTCTTTTCGTTAAGAGATAATTCATCTAAAGAGTGGAACCTAAAAAATTCTATTGAGTATCTTCAAAAAGTTGCCGAAGATAATGAACTTGATTTTGAGGGTGAAATAATACTGCACTTAAGGTAATTTTTATATTATAGGCTAGTATTGGTTATAAATTCTATAAAGAAATATCCATCTATAATAATTTTGAAGTGAAAAATCAAAAAAATAACATTGTGTTATTATTAAAGTTGAAACTGTTTTAGAAGGATCTAAACTAAATTAAATGTTAAAAAATAGTTTAAAATTTGTTACCCTTATAGTATACTATTTACTGCTCCTTTGTGGTATAGTATATTACTTAACTGGAAATTTAAGATTTCTATTGCATTTTTATTTTATTTTATTACTGGTGAGCGTAAGGTACTTGTGACTTTTATAATTAAAATAAACGATATTAACGGTCAAAAAATACTTAAATATCCATTATAATAATTAATAACTGTAAAATATCTATCAAAACAATAATGATAATGATAATAAATTGTAATTAATCAGGTAAAATATACAGTTTTTGGCATACAACATTTGTTGGTAGGTAGCATACAACAAGAATATTTAAAATTTATTATGCCATTAGAAAGAAGGTAAATATTAAAATCTCTTAAATTATTTATACATATGTAATGTTATATTTAAAATATCAAGTAAAAATAAATATTTTAAAAATTCATATAAAATAAAATAATGTGGTGATTATTAAGAGAACCCAGGTTGAAATATTTTTAGTAATTTTAGCTAATAAAGTAGTGCAAACAATTTTTTACTTCTTTTCTATTAGCTTAACTAGTGTTAGTATGTCTTCGAAAAATGTACTTTACATTAATTCAAAAAAGGCTGATAAACACCATTTTTTAATTGTATTTCTCTTACAAATTATTTTTGTTTAATAGCATAATGTGTAAAAGAATGCATAATATGTTATTTTTGTCTAACAAATATTTACTTATTATAGTATAAAAATTACTCTTATTTCTTGTTTTGTTTTTAAGTATTGAAATTAGACCTATGATATAATTAAATTTATGATTATGATCTAGGTTGTAGTTAATTAAGTTCTCCAGATAATTTGTATTTCAATTTTATGATTATTATAATTTGTTCATGTCTAAATTGAATAAATAAATATTATAATTGTTATGTTATAAATAACTGAAAGTGTATGTTACTTAATTTAAAATTATTACAGTGTCCTTAAATCAATAGGAGAAAAAAAATATGATGATGCTTTTAAAGGACAATTGGTAATTTTACAAAACATTGTTAAATATCTTCAATCTGATAGTGAAAACTGGATGGTGCCACTTGCTAATACAGTAAATATACAATGATTTTAATAAAATAAGTTTAATCATCAAATAAACATTTTATGTTGTAGGTTTGTGTTGATCTTAGATATCTATTAAATGCGTATTATAAATATGAGTCCACAAGTAAAAAATTGAAAATGGAAAAATATAATGATTTTCAAAAAAAATACATTGATATAATGATGATGTATTTCCGTATTTGTTCTAATGACATGTAAGTTATTTCTCTGAAATTATTATAAAATTGTTTTCATGTTTATTAAAATATTTGTTTTTACAATTATAGCCGAGCTCCAGCACGTCAATCCAAGCGTTGGACAATAATGTTTATTGTGAATCAGATGTTAAAAGTATACCATAAAATCAAAAAATTTCATTTGACTACAGGTTTGACTAAAACTATTTTCATGTGTCCGGACAAGAATACATTTCCAATAGCGCATGCGGTTACCTTTTATTATTTTACTGGCTGTAAAGAGATATTTGAAGGAAAATTTAATGATGGTTAGAAAATGTATATTATTTAATTATTACTAAAACTCTGCTTTCCATTACCCTATAAAATGCTTAAACCGATAGCGCATATAAAAATTGCAAAATATTGTATAAATTCATTAAACCTTATAACATTAATAACTAGAATAAAGATTATACAAATAAATAATATTAAAATAATATGTATATTGCATATTATATAATTAAATCAATAGTGTTCAATTTTTATTTTTATAAAATAAACATAATTTAATTATTATTAGTGGTTGATATAGTTATATTTTGTACAAGTGTTTTGTTTAAGTGTCTATGTTAGTTATTTTGAAAAGTTTTGATTTATTATCATAAAATAAGCTGTATTCTTTTGCACATACAGCTTATTTTCTTAGCATACCTAGTATTTTCATCAATGGCTAGTTTGGTAAAATAAATTAGCATAGACCAATTGTAATATGATTTTTAGAATATTTCAAACCCTATTGTTTAAATGTCATACTATTAGAAATATTTTGATTATGTATAGTTTGTGTATATATTTAAAAATAAGTTTTTTAAATTTTTATAAATCTTAAAATTGATGCATTATCTTTTAATATGTAAATATGTAATAAAATATATTGTTAATTGTTTATGGTTGTTTCAGCTAGAGAAAATTTGACAATTGCATTTCAAGGCTGCCATAAAAACTCAATCAAAAACAAGACGTTGATTTTGAAAAAACTTATCCCATTAAACATGTTGCATGTAATTAGATGCTAATTATATTTATATACTATAATATTTTACAAATGAATTATCATTTATTTGTCTTAGGGAATAATGCCATCAAAACATCTTCTCAATAAATATAATTTGGATGCATTTAAAGATCTGACTGAGTATATTAAGATGGGCAATGTAAAAAAATTTAGAGAATGCATTGATGTTAATGAAGTATATTTAATGAAATCTGGAATATATTTGTTATTGCAAAAATTAATAAATCTTGTTTACAGAAACCTGTTAAAAAAATTGTAAGCAATTTAATGTTTAAATATTTATAATTATAATGTATAGCACTTGTGTTGTAGCTATGAATTAAACAAAAACCAACTGACTATTAAAAAAAATTTACTTTTCTTGAAATAATTAATGATTAACTTTAATTAACTGTTAATCAAAATTAAAAATGTATACATTTTCTGTTAAGATACTAAATAGAACTGTAGAAGATTTAAAATAACACAAGTGCTAGAAAAATTTCACTAAACTTGATTTTAACTGTTATTTCTTTTTACAGTTTCTTAATAGCTAACAACCATATTATACCAGTTGAGACTATTACAGTAATATTGAAAAAATTTGATGATCCTGAAACAGATTTTGAAAAAGCACAGTCTTTATTAGTTAACATGATTTACAGAGGAACACTCCGTGGATATTTATCACATGCTCACAAAAAAGTTGTATTAAGTAAAAAAGATCCATTCCCCACTGGTAAACAAGTTTTTGATAAAGCTACAAAATCTATTAATGAAATTGGTCATAATTAGTTTAATTTAATTGATGTAACATGTACGTATTATACTATTATTTCTAAAATAAGACATTTTTTTTTTTTTACATACTATGACATGTATTTCCAAGAATCTTTTATTTTTTCTAAAATAACTAGCTGTATTACAACTGTCCAGGTTAAATTAAATTTATTGTTTTCTATTCTTCCATTGAAATATATAACCTAATCGCTATTAATTTTATTATTTTTCCTTCTTAATCATTCTAAATATATCTTTGATATAAATACAAACAACTAATATTTATAATCTAATATCGTTATTCATTAAGATTGATATTAATTTTTATGCATTCATACTTAAAACATATCCAAATTAAGTTAGAAAATCATTAAAGTAATTATTTTTTACTGCGTTTATAATTATTTGGTTTTAATATTTATTTATTTTTTTAAATATATTTGATTTTCTTAATTTTTGTGAGGCAAATCTCAATCTATGTGTAAACCGTCCCATGGAGGTTGAAATATAAGCAATAAACATCCTCAAGTTACAAGTTTTAAGGAATCTATTGATATAATTTAAAACTTATTGAAAATGGTCGTCATTTTTGAATTTACACAAAATAAACAAAGAAATATTCATTTTTTGATGTATAGTTTTTTTTTTTTATTTCGGTAGGTCATGTATACTAATTACAGTAAGTATATTTATTTTGTTAACATATATTATAACATATATACCAAATGGTAAATTTAATAATAGTAGGTATTAAATAAATACTGTAACTGATTAAATGTTTTAATTAACAAATATTTATTTATGAACACGTGGAATGATGAAGTACATGTTTTGGTATTAAATATTAAAATAAAATGAACCATTTGTTTTGGTTTAATGTCTACTATCTTAAAAGTAACATGATACTTAAAATATTATTGAAGACATTATGAAATGTATGTAGGTACTGCAAAAATTAAATTTTATAATCTATCCCTTAAAATAAGTAGTCTACAAATTAAAGGATTTTCAAAAAAATGAATTTTGCATGAATTATATTTTATACAATTATTAACAGTAGGCCAAATATGATTAAGTTCTACAATATGTTTGGAATTGGACAATATGTTAATAATTTAATATATTTTATTACATAAAACAATTTTATATATATTATATAAATGTATATTATGAACTTCTATATAAAATGTGTTTGGAATTGATATTTTAAAAATAAATTGATTAGACCGAGTGAAATAATTAATAATTAATTACCTTAAAGTAATAACACTAATACTACTTGGTAGATTTAAGAACCATCCAATGTATTACATTTTAATAGACAATTCAAAATCAAAACAAAACTATTCAAAAATAAATATACACATGAATAACATAGAATGTAAAGTTACTTATCACCCATCTTCACTTTGGAAGTTATGTATATGCCAACAATTAGACCGAAAAGACCAATGGCACTTCCAAAAATTTCAACAATTAAAATTTTGACAAAAAGCGAAGAGTTTGCTGCATCTGCTAATGCTGCACCTGATCCCACTACTCCAACAGCTATACCACAAAATAGGTTAACCAAACCAACGCTTATGCCAGCAGCAAATATTAAATAGCCTGCCATCCAATTTTGATCTCTGATTTGTTGTGTGGTATCCACATTGTCTGTGAACGATTCCAACTGGCCGGACATGACAATTGCAGTGATCAGTCCATAGATGGCCACCGCTTCGCAGAAGATGACAGATATAAGATTCTTGGTCTTGATGCGTGGTGCTTTAACTCCACCGCCAACGATGCTCACACCAGTTGTATGTATTCCCAACGCGGCTCCAACCACAGACAGGGCAACCGCCAGAGATATACCCAAAACAGCCCACATATACGGTGATGTATTGGCCAAGAACCAGCCAACACTTATTTGCTCACCTTTACCGGCCAACAGGTAGAATAGTATGATAGCCGACATCAATGTGGATCCCGTTCCGAAGATCGAGTAACCTAATATCGCTCTCAGTCTCATTTTCGATTTCTTTGTAACTTAGTCGTCGATAAAAATTATGCAAGTCAAATGCAAACGAAACACATTTAAGTACAAATTATAAAACAATATAATATTCGGTAATATTACTAATATTAATTGTTACTTTTATTACTTATAACTCAAAAGGACTCCGCCCCAAGTACGGATTAGATAGTTAGACGGTCTAATCAATTCTAGACGCTAAAACATATGTTTTAATATAATAATAATCCTTATACCACGGTATGTGATAACACTTGATGTTTATTGCTTCCATGGAAATATGTTGCACAGGATATGGTTTTGATAAAAAAAAAATTATATTTATTCCCATTTACCCCACTTGTACAATTATAATGTCATTATCACAGAATATCGTATTAATATTATAATTATTGTACATTTTACTACTTTAGTCATTTTGTCGACTTGTCACTCGTTTTACGTTAGTATTAGACATTAGTCATTTCTGTAGTCCTATTCTATTCGTTCATCGTTCATCATTAGTCAGTATTCACTATTCGCTAAAAGCTTAGACTTTCATTACGAGTTCAGCATTTTCATTTATTTCTTGACGAACAACTCCGGATTTAATTTAAATTATTAATTCCAACAATCTATAAATATGAGCTATCCTGGATATCCTCCCAACAATCAGGTAAGTTTACTATTTATTTTTAAAAACTAGGTATCAAAAAATGTTCTTGATGCATACTACCAATTTATTACTACTTTTTTATGAGCAGAAAGTCTAACATTATGCATGCTAGTAGATACTGATATCAGATGTCTTAATTAGTTGAGGGGTTATAAATTGACTAATATTTTTTTATAAATACTTAATACAAAACATTTTTTTATCTACATAATTTCAAATTAATTATTAAGCTTTGCAAACAAGCTTGAAAAAAAAAAATGAATTTTATCTTTGTATGATGAAAAATGCTTAATTCGAGAATACCAACCAATATTTTTTTTGCAATAACACTTTAAACAATATGTTTTATTATTGTTATTGCAAAAGTATATTTTTTCATATAAATATTTCACCACTCTAATATTAGTTGTTTATATCTAAACTTTATCCTATTTAGTAATATTGGACAATTATCAATATATATGTTTGATTGTTTATCTATTGATAATTTAGAATAAGAATCTATAGTTTACTATATTATATTATAATGTAGTCTGTTCACAAATTACCTATATTTTAACTATAATTTGAGTATTTACTTTTTTTAAATTATATAGCATTAAGATATACTAATAACTATTAACACTTCTAATATTATTATTGTATGGATAAATTTGTCTTTATAGTTTATTATAGTATGTTAATATTTTCATATGTTTTAGCAATGTCTTTATTGATAAAATAACACTAATAATTTCGTCTAAGATTTTTATTAGGTAACATTACATTAGGTAGTTCTAGTTACTGGTTAATGAAGTAATGTTTTTCTATAAGACAACTTTTGTATTAAATTCTTGTATAGTAGGCTTAAAGAAAATTTACATTAAAATATTTGTATGTTTTAGTTCACTTTTATACATACTTATTACTTAAATAATAATATTGGTTATAAGCACTTTTATTGTTCATTATGTTATGTATTTCATCAGGGCTGGGTTAAGAGAAGCCCAGAGACTCTTGGGCTGATACTAGCAAAATAAAATTAAATCACAACTTGAATAAAAATGTTCAATTATTGTTGATATTGTCATAACTCATAAATTTATAAATAAATGTTATTATTAATAGCTAATAATATATTTATACATTATAAATGCATAAAAGTGAGAAGCAAGTTTACAAATATAACTTTTAAATTGATTATTATGGACTAGTAGAGTAGGATTAACTCTATAATAATGTTGGTAATTTGGTATGGTTTTAAATTTTAATAAAAATATTATTCTAAATATATGTTGTATGAATTATTATTATTTTGATTTTTAAATTTAAATATTTTTAAACCATACTTTCTAATCAAATATTATTTTTTTTTAAATTTCAATATATTATTCAATTAAATTCATTTATTACAATATATTAGATATGTGTAATAAAAAAATGATATCTAATTCTAATGGTTGGTCCAAAGTATCTGCATTTCTAAATCTGGCTATGTATATCACGTATAAATATGAAAATTGATAATGACAGTGATAAAATTAACAAATAACATTTTACTCATGCCATTAATTAGATAAAGAATTAAAACTGTAGATATAATAATACACTGATCTCAAATTAAAAATAAGTTTACTTTGTTTAAAGTAAGATTGAAAATAAATAGGATTGCCTTTATATAAGTAATAATTATTATAGTAGACATATATTTATTTGTTTCACTGTATATACCTATAACTTGGAATAACACATAATTTCCAGATAAATTGAAAATACTTAACACGATTTTATGAAAACACAGACCTACTTATTTAATATATTCTATGATATATATTTTAATTAAATACAAATTATGACAAAAACCCAATTTTATAATTTTCTATAAGCTAAATGTTAACATATTTATAATTATTATTCAAACTTACAAATTATTAGGTACTACATTTAAAAAAATGTATTTCGTTTTTACATAGTTAAATATTTTATGAACTATTTTGTTTTTTGGTAGGGATTCCCTGGTCAACCTGGAGTGCAACAACCTGGCTCCCAGTTACCTTATCCACCATATCCCGGAGGTAATGTAGGACAACAAGGGTTTCCAATGCCAAGTGCTTATCCACCAGGCCAACCTAGCTATCCCCAGCAAAGCCCATACCCTCCCCAAGTTGGTCAATATCCACCACAACCATCCGGACAGTTCCTACCTCAATCTGGTCCTTATACTTCAAATTTACCAATGTATCCATCATCAGCTGTAGGAGGTCAATATCCATCCACTGTACCAGGGCAATATCCATCATCCACTAATCCTGGCCAATATCCACCACAGGCCTCTCCATATCCAAATGCTCAGTTAACTTCTAGTTATGTACCTCAGTCTGCTGCCTACCCAACTCAATCAGCTTATCCACCCACTCAACAAACATCTTCAGTTTATCCGAATATGACAGCTGGTGGTTATGATGGTGGTTCTCAAGGTCTACCACAAGCAGCATATCCACCTATTAGCACTCCTGCTCATTATCAACCATTAAGCAGCTCACCTGCTCAAAAAAAGGTGAGATTTCAATAATTTCTAATTAAATATATAAATATTTATTATGATTCCAATTAAGATTAATGTTTCAATATATATCTATTAAATTATCAGTGAATTTCAAAAATTTATTTTAAATTTGTTTTATTTATTTTATCAAGAATTTCGTTAAAAACTACTTCTACAATAAAAAATTCATTTTAATTACATACAATACCTTCTCATAATATTTTCCTTTTTTTTTTTTTTAATACTTGTATCAAAACTTTAAAAAATTATTTAATTATTTATTCTTGGCTTTGTATTTGGTGAAAATAGATACATGTAATTTTGCGAATTATAATTATTTGCAGGTGGAACTAATAGTTATATATCTATAAATATTGTTAATTAGTGTTTATTTTTATGTATTTAAGAGATAAATAGTAAGTTAAAAAAAATACTGATATAAATTAATGTTTTGCTTTCATAAGTACTTTATTTAATTATACTCATTTTAATTAACTTTAAAAGCTTATTGTTAAGATAATGCTGATAACATGATTTTGGCTTTTCATAATATTTAAAAATGAATGATTCTCTATAATTAAATGATGCTAATTCTTATAACCAGTAACTTGAGTTATTAATTGCTCTTTTGTATATAATATCAATTCAATAATTAGTTTAAAATAGAATAATGGTATTCAAAACTTATACCGTTTAGTTTATTTATATTTTGCATATTGAAAAACCTGTTTTGTTTTAGTCTAATCCAACGCTTCGTCCAGCCAATCCATTTGATCCACGTCGTGATGCTGAAATATTGCGTAAAGCTATGAAAGGGTTTGGAACTGATGAAAAATCAATCATACAAGTCTTGGCTCATAGAGTTAATACTCAAAGACAGGAAATCGCAGTTCAATTCAAGACGATGTATGGTAAAGTAAGTATTATATAATTTTTGTTTAACTTATTGCATGCTTAAGCTTTAATTACATAGTTATTAATTTTATAATATTTATTCGTTTGATTAAATATTGTTTTATTATTTTAGGATTTGATATCCGATTTGAAGAGTGAAGTGAGTGGAAAGTTTAAAGATCTGATTGTAGGACTCATGACACCAACTTTTGATTTTCTTGCTAAAGAAATTCATAATGCTATTGATGGTATTGGCACTAATGAAGAAACAATAATTGAAATCATATGTACTGCTTCAAATGCTGAAATTAATAATATAAAAATGGCATACCATAAATGTAGGTTAAATGTAGTTAATCAGTATAAAAATGATTAGTATTAATACATTATATTTTTCTACTAATTTAATTATTATTGTTTTTTCTAGTGTTTGGAAAAGATTTAGAAAAAGAGCTCATGGGAGAAACATCAGGAAGTTTCCGGAGATTATTAGTGTCACTTTGTCAGGTAAATTTTTTTAGTACTTCTCCTTAACAATAATATAAGTTTATTTTTATTTTGGTAGGGACAACGCAATGAAAATACATTTGTTGATGTTGCATCTGCACAAGCTGATGCACAAAAATTGTTACAAGCTGGTAAATTATTTCACCATAAAAAAATGTAAACCAATAATATTTAATTTTAATTTTATAGGTGAACTACAATTTGGAACTGATGAGTCTACATTTAACATGATCTTATGTAGCCGTAGCTTCTGTCAATTACAACAAATATTTTTGGAATATCATCGTCTAACTGGAAGAGACTTTGAAGATGTTATCAAAAGTGAATTCAGTGGAGATATTGAGAATGGACTTAAAGCGATTGGTATAAATTTGAAAATTTTTAATTTAAACTGTTTAAGTATTAAATGTATCATTTTACAGTGAAATCTGTAAGAGATAAAAGTGCATACTTTGCTAAACGTTTACACGAAAGCATGGCTGGTTTTGGCACAAATGACAGTGCATTGATTCGTATTGTTGCAACTCGTTGTGAAATTGACATGGTTGACATAAAAAATGCTTATATGTCGATGTATGGGAAATCTTTGGAGACTGATGTTGCGGTAAGAATTATATTTTATTTCTTGTACGTATTAGGCACATTATATAGTCAGGGTGTGCAATCATTAAATTTCATTATCATTTTTAATTTGATAATATTTCTAAATCCGTAAAATTAAATAGTTTTAATTAACTGGTTATCATATAGTGATTAAAATATAATATTTTTGCTGATCATTGAAAATTGAGTATTCGTTAAAACAAAGTTTAATAATACTAATTCATATTTATTTTGTAACGATAAATTTAGTTTATTTGTAATATAAATCTATTAATATACATACTGATTTTCCATTTTTGCAACATGTTTTATAAAAAAAAATGGAATATTCTTTTACTACTTATAAATGCAGACTAATTAAAGTGTACAAAAATCTACACAAAAAAAATCTCAATTTTGACTTACTTCTTCATACTGTTCAAGTAAACTAACCTTCCTATTTATGTTTAAAATGATAAAATAGTTTTTACATAAAACTATTAATGTAAAAATATCTAAAAATTAAAGGTATTTTAAATTTTAATTGCAATATGTCATCATATGGGATTGCCGAAATTACAGTTAAGCCTTACTTATTAATAATAATAAAATAAATTACTGTTCTTTAGAAACAGATTTTATAGTGCTTAAAGTACTTATTATATTTTATTATTTTTTTTTTATCTCTTGGAATTAAACATATAAAATGGTGTCAGTACTTAAAAGAAAATGTAAATTAACTTTGTTTCTAATGGAATTTAGTCACTTTTAACTATTGAATGTCAAATAATACTTTTTTTTTTAATAAATTCAAATTTAAGTAGGCAAAAGTTATCTAATATTCTTTAAAAATTGTGAAACAAAACGTTAAATGTATAATCTTTGATTTTAAATTAATTGTTTTTAATACATGAGAAATATTCATAAGTTATTGAAAATAAAACATATTATTTTAAATTGTATTATAATAATTGTAAAATAAGTTAGTATATTATATGTAATAATATTGAAACAGATAAACATCAGTTAAAACTTAATATAAACTCTAAATCTTAAATTATCATTTATTTAAAATTAAATGATTAATTTCGTAATTGTCATGCCCTTATATTAATCACTACTATGCCTACTGCATTATATTTCAAATTTAAATATTATATTGAAAGTTTAATTTAGATAATGCCAGATTGATTTTACTCTGTACTAGTATAATCAGTAATCACGATTATTTTTAATTAACTCATAATATACCAGTAATATTCAATTTATTCAACATATTTTGTGATTGCTATACTATAATATATGTTAAATTTTAAATTAAATATGTTCAAGTTTGTTGACCTAGCTTCAAATGTTCATATTTATGACGTATCTCATTAATTCAGACTCTATTAATAAACATGTATCTTTGTTATTATTATTTGTTCCTTAAACTATAACCGAAAATTTCTTTTATAATCTAGAAAAGTACTGATAAATTATCATATAAACCTAATTTAAAATTTGTTTTGTTTTATTTATGCGAATCAACAGTCTGATACGTTTATGGTGAGTTGCTGCATGAGTAGTGAATGAAAAATATGTCAGCTACAATGATTGATTGCTGAATTGCCTGAATTATTAACTAATATTTTATAAAATTGGTTTGCTTGGACTAATTTTAACCAAAGTCTGAAAGTTGTTAGTTTTGCATACATCCATTGAAAAACATTGTAGAAGAAAACTAACCTATTTCATCAAAATATACATTTATTTAATTTGTATTTAAAGTTTCCACTGAAATTTAATTAGCTTATTGATAAATTTTATGTTACAGGACGATACATCAGGCGACTACAAAAAATGTCTGATTGCTTTAATTGTTGGCTAAAAATAATAGTATACATATAATCTTATTATACAGTATTTTATTTATACAATCATCAATACATTTTACAGCTTTGCACTATTTAATATTTATATAAAATATTTTCATTATTTGCATTTAAAATTGATAATGTTTACTTAAATATTTTTACTCATTCTTAAAATAATATTTAAATCATGATAATTAAATTTCATATTTTATTCTTTTTTTACTGTGAATTTAAGCATCAATTAAATTTTTGTATTTAATAGTTAAATACTTTGGGCTTGGGTATTTAAAAAATAATGGTTATTTTTAATATTTTATGAATACATGATGTATATTTTAAGCATTTTTATTTTTTTTACAATATGATACATGGTAAACATTTAAACTCACTTTGTCAAATTATATTGTCAATTTTTTAATTACTATTGAAGATTTGTTAATTCTTTCTATATTTTTCTATATTATTGTTTAAATAAACTAAATTAACATCATTAGTCAAATCTGCTTGATATTTATGTCATATAAAATTATATTAATTATTACAAATATTATAGTTTTTAAGCAGGGTAAATATGTGCCACTCATTAACCAAATATTGTAAAACACTGAATGCATTTTATAAACTTAATGTTTATGACTCTCGGAAGTCTTAAAATGGTGCTTATTAATTTGTTATTAATGTTATTATACTTGAATTATTATATACATTTTAATTGTCTTATTATTTATTCATTAATAAATATATAAATTCTTGCTGTGGCGTTATCAACTTATTATAAATATACCTTAGTATTACTTGTTTAATAAAATTATATTAAATTTAACCATTTACTTAAAAAATTCTATTTGGTTAAAATAATATAGCATTAAAAATATTTAATTATAATATTATATGAAAAATTAGTTACAATTCTAAAATATACAATTTAATGTTTAACTTAATAATATAATATTTTGTAACGTCACTGGCTTAGTTATTTGTTATTGCATTGTTATCTGTTGATAAACTACAATGTTTTTTTGTTTTACACTGTATTCGCTATATATTTATCTTTTGATGTTTTATAATAAAATTTCATTATATTTCAATTTTAAAATTGCTGTTGGAATTTTTTTTTATTAGTTTTTAATCAATCTTATTATGTGCTATAAGTACTCACACGTGGCAGGTGATAAAAATCTATTTCTGTTACAGTAGTGAATGACAGTGGTTTAACTAAAACCATTTTGTAAGGGTGTTATAGATATTTCATAATTATTACAAGTTATAAGGAGTGAAGAATTTTGAGTGGAGCAATGTAATGTATTAACTTTACAATGATGTGTGTTTTTTTTTATATATGTGATAAGTAGGGAACGGATTTTAATTTAATATAAAATCAAAAATATTTAAATATATATTTGTTTATTACTTAATAAATATTTATTTATAAATGTATAATATTTAAATATTTAAATTGAAAAGAAGATAAAATTATTAAAAAATTAAAAAATATTAAAAAAATTTAAAATGTATTCTGAATCATCATGTGGGAAACAGTTAGAAACGACATATAATTTGAAATGTAAAGTGGCGGCGGTTCGGTCTTAACATTGCTTTGTAACGGCTGAATGACCTCTCCACATCAACGGACGTGACAGGTGCATATTTCATACACATTATTTCTTTTAGAGTGTATTCAATTTCTGAATAATTGTTATTCGGAGTTTTGTTTAATAGTATGTCCCTTATTGACATTATATTATTAAATCCTGGGTTTTTTTCCAATACATTTTTTAATTTTGAATTGGTTAAAGCTCCAATTTCTCCAGGAACACGTTCTAATTGCTTTATGGCATTATCAACTATTTCTAAGCTCCCCGTTAATGGCATTTTAAAAGTTTCTAATTTTGAAATAGTATCAATTAAAAATCCAAAATTAGTGGAAATAAATGCTAAATTGTTTTGCAAATTTTTACTTTCTATGAGCTCAATAGTTTTTTTTATTGCCATTGCAGCATCGTAATCTAAATTTAAGACAACGTTTCTAATCTTTTCAAAGTTATTTGAATAATATAATACAGCTGATAACCACGTACCCTATCGAGTTATAATAGGCTCGGGAGGTAGAGTTAAATCCGGGTACATATCTTTAAATGTCTGTACTCGACTTGACGCTTTTAAAAATATTTTTTTTACGTTGGTAATTAATGAATCAACTTCAGAAAACTGAAATCTAATTGTTTCAGCTATACGATGAAAACCATGTACTAGACAAGTTAAATGCACCATCCTTGGATAAAATATGTCCAACACTTTTCCCGCCTTACACATAACGGCGCGGCGTCCGTTAAAAGTAAAAGTACATTATTGTGTATTATACCTTTCGGACACAAAAAACCCATTGCATTATTAAATAACTGACATATAGTTTTGTGGTTACATTTATCAAATATACATGAAAATTCTACAATGTTACATAATTTATGTATTTATTTATAAAAAAATTTAATTATCCTAAAATATTTAAAAATATTTAAAACAAAATTAGCATCAGATTACTTGAATTTAAATGAAACGTATACATATATTGAAAACTTTCCGATGCTATTACTACATAAAAATATTTATTTAAATTAAAATCCGTTCCCTAATGATAAGTAGCCCATAAAATGTTTAAATTTTTAACTTTAATGGTGATTTTGAATAGAAAATTGGATCTAATTTGTATTTGATTTTGAAATTAAAAGTTTCCAGTATATTTTATAATCGTTAAAAATAAAACATTAAAGACAGATGTGAATTTTTAGGCCTTACAGTTTTCAACTAAATTGATTTTTTTTTTATATTATCATAACTGAAAAATGAATAATGACAGAAACTTGAAAATTTTCTCAGCTATTTATATTATCATATTTTATGCATGCTAAATTTTTCAAAAATGTTTGAGCTATTTATAGAAAATTTAAATTTTTAAAATTTAAATTTAATGACCCTTAATAGTGATCTATTCGACACCTAATTTACAGCAACGCGATATCGAATTACCCGCTTATCTTCCAATTTTTAATTTTTACAGTAATATTTTTAGTTTTCCTAACCATTAAGCACAATATGTAAAAGTGAAAACTTTTTTTTTTTTTTTTGGGGGGGGGGATAAGTAACCTGAGATAAGTTATACAAACGTATAATTTTTTTATTTTTTTTATATGTATTACCTATGTGCGGTTAAAATATAACTAGTGAACATTATTCTTAGGTATTTTAATAGTTGTATATATTTTATAAACGTTAATTTATTCTGAAGATAATTTAATTAGGACATACAATTTTTGTTGTACATTAACTAGGTAACGTTAAAAAATCCAGTTTTTTCTTTATAATACGAGTTAAATTTTAATCGTGGATCAACTATCGGACAGCCTCGAAGTTGAGACTTGGGACTAAAAAGGTGAAACCGTACCAAAAAAGATCGGTTCAGGATTGAAATTTTTTGAAAATATTGAGACCAGAATTTTTGATAGGTACTTTTTGTTTAAGAACTGAAACCTATATTTCAGTGTAGAGATTTTTTCGGATTTTTTAAGTTCAGAATTCAATAGGTTCCAATATTCCATGTATTTTTAATGACAATAAATAATTTATTAATAGAAATAATAATTACTAATATTTAAAACATTAAACTTAGAGATGGATAATTCAAATGTGTCTAAATCTTATATTCATTAAATATTATTTTATTTTAAATAATAATTCAAATTAATACTTAGATTAAATAACCTAACTCCTGAATTATTGAAAGATAATCAAATACAAATAGTAATCGCAGTAGTAACAAAGAACTTTATTCTGTTGTAATAATAATAGTTGTTAATATTAACCGGAACCGTGAATAAAATCATTATGGTTCCACTCCTTATCTTGGAAAATTCCACGTGGTCTGGTGGATAAATAAGTGCAATGTTTTACTGATTTAAGTCAGCGGTTCTCAAACATTTTTTTTTTTGCGTACCACTTAAGTATATTATTAATCAGTCGCGTACCACTGATGATTAAAAATCCTACCACCATGCGGCCTTCCGCGTACCATAGTTTGAGAACCGCTGGTTTAGCTTCTTTATATCTGATTTTCGTGGTTACAGTTGGTGCATTGATATACTTTGGTTAATATTTACAGTTGAATTTTCATTTCTATTTTTTTTTTTTTTATAAACTTCTTCGTCGTTGCGTCGTGCACTTGATATTGCCTACCGATTTTTTTCTATTCCTTAATGAAAAAATCTAAACAAAATACTTTTTTATCCTTCTAGATTGTTATACCACAGTCCACAAGTATTAGTATATTTGAAACTTATTTTAAAAATGTATATTTAATAAAATTATCTTACTACTTATCTGGGTTGCATAGACGTACAATATATTGAAACTTAATCTCATTGTAATATTTCTAGACATAGTATAGCTACGTCATTACGTTATTTCTTATTATATGGCTTATATTATAATTTATAAGTATAGTGAAGTAACTTTAAAATTATGACAAAATTCTAATTTTTTGTCTTTATATTAGAATCAATATTAGCAGACTTGAATTGTTTAGGGGAGGAGGAAAGCTCCCATCCTTTTTTTATTATTTATAGCGTAATATTATACCTACTAAATTATATTTTTAAACATTCTCTAACAACGATGCGATATTTATTTTATCTAATTCTATAAACATAAACATTCAAAATAATATGTAAAAACTAAAAAGTAAAATACATTTTTTTTTTTTATTCATTAAAAATGAATTGTAGAACATTTACAATCTGCATACATAGTAACATAATAACAAGCAAATTAAATAATAGTAAAATAGGCGCGGAGGTAGCATGACAGAATGTGACGCCATTGACGCTACATTAAATTTTATAGATAATTTTGTTTATTTTTATTTTTAGTTGTAGGCTATTTTGAACAAGTAAATATACACGACCAGTTGCGTTTGCAACGTCAAGGTGGGATTATCAGGGATTAGTGGCAAAGATTAAATATTAGAAATAAATGCTTGGAGTTCATTTTTTTTTGTGTATTAATCTGAATCCCAAAGGAATATTATGATAGG